CTATAACACTACATCATATTTTATATCTTAATTTTATGAATCGGCAGTGTAATTAGCTGTAATATATGTGTAGTAGAAGAAAAGGTGCATAATTCAGATGAGGGATGAAATAGAAATGTTTAAACAAGCCACACAATCCTGTGGGAGATACAGAAATACAAAACTTCAGGGACGTCATGAAGATGATTTGGCTGAAAGGGAGTCGCTCTGACTGTCCCGCTTGAAAACATACAAAAAACAAAGAGTACATGCGCACAATCGAGTATTCTTGGTAAGCTTAAAAACATCATCATAGCTAATCTGAAGAAAAAGAGGATGATAGGATGTGTTGTGTGCTCGTGCTCAGCAAAACCAATGTGTGATTAATTAATAATCTAGGGAGGGAATGAAGGCAGGAGGGGCAGTTCATTTTTGTGTCAGGTGAGAATCACGTCAGCTGTCATTCACTGTATGGCAGAAATGTCCTTTTAGTCCGTTTAGGTGTTTGCCAGGTTCATATCATCTCATTACACCAGATATATCATAACATTCATGTTTTGTGGACATAAATTAAATTTCTTTGCTGTCAAATTAAAATATGATCCTTTGCTAAGGTGGGAGATGTTGAAGTTTATAAACTTCAGACTTACTCAGCAAAGAAGCAAAAAAACAAACAAACATATATATGTGGCACCTCCTCGGACAGTCACTAACATTTGGCTGTTGTTAATATTTAAATCAGTCATTTGTGATTCAATGATTTATTGTAGCTTAAGGGACATGATCACCAAACTAATGTTATATTAACCTTTTTTTCTAGGCACAGTAAGCCAGCTAAACTTCAGCTGCATAAATATGAGATTATTTCTATAACAATTAAATAATGTAACCGAGATATCAACGAATCAGTTTGTAAACAGCGCGTAAAATTAGAAAGTCTACACTGACTTGTGTAAACTGCATGTATGACTGACCTGTCTCTGAAATCCACTAGATGGCGCTGCAGCTCCAGGATAATGTCCTCGGGAA